TTTTATTTTATTTTATTTTATTTTATTTTATTTTATTTTATTTTATTATATTTTATATTTTATTTTATTTTATTTTATTTTATTTTATTTAAATTAAACTAAACTTCAATCTGCTACAAAACCGCATACTCAAAATAAAAATAAGTTTCGAATTTTGACGAACATTTGTTAAAATTAGTCGAATTTTTATAAACGTTCTACAAAGTTTGAAATTTTGATTTACATGGTTTTTATTTAGATTGCAAGCTATATTTTCATAAAAACATAATACAAATTTTGTAAACAAAGAAAATAGCTGCAAATTTCTGAAATGTCTTTTCCCTATTTACATTCACGCACATTCACTTAAGGTCCATCTGGGGAATTCTCTTAGGTAGATTGCCTGGGTACACCAAAGGCTGTCGAATGTGCTTTTGGGGCTCAACTGACCGGTAGTCCAGTTTTTGGGGAACTTTTAACTAGTCATCGAAACAATAACGTCTGCTCCAAAATCAAGTAAAAGCTGTTACATTTCTTTTCCACACCAGTTTAGAGCCCCATTGCAGATCTCTAAAACTCAACCCAAGAAATTTAAGCGCTCGTTAAGCGTACGTAATTTTAGCTACACATGCGCCTACTACCAAATTTCCATGTTCCGTTTGTTCTTAATAGCACAAATCATTTTGTCGCCAACTGAATATTTAAACAAAATGCTGCTATACTTAATTTGTAAGTTAGTAAAAAGAAAAGCGAAAAACTTAAAGAGTTTGTGTAGATAATGCAGAGGCCAGCCTTCCTCGCGATCTGCCAGCCAAATCAGCCAAAAACATATTTTAACACAAACTGCAAATATCTTTTCTACACAATTTTGTAATTTATTTTAACTTTTTAACTTCTATTTCGCATTTTCCTTTTTTTATATTCTTACCTTTGAATATATAGTTTTAGTTGGAAACTTACATTTCGTTGTCCCATTAGATGGTCATTTCTGAGTTCTTGAAAATTTACCAACAAATAGGCTTAAACTTTCATGGTAACTTTTAATTGGGTTCGCACGCAAAATTAAAAAGCAACAGCTACATACATAAGTTAAGTCTACAAATAGTTTTATAATTGAGTTACAAAAAATAAAAACAACACAAAAGAGCGGCTAAGTGGCTTGAGTTTACAATAATAAAAAAAAAACTACAGGCAAACAAAATTCAAAATTTTTTGGGGAATCACAGATATTTCTATTTATAGTATAAAAACACGTTTGGTTTCTTGTTTTCGTAAGACGACTGTAAGAAGTTTATTGGTTTAGTCTATATTTATGTAAGACTGTTGAGACTGCTTTTAGCTCGATAGCTATCTTCATGAATGTAACTTTTGTAGCGGTCGCCCCTCGGCATGCAATGGCAAACCTTTGAGTGTATTTCTGCCATGAAAAACAGCTTCTCTTAAAAATACAATCGCCGTTCGAAATCGTCATAAAACTCTAGGTCCCTCCCCTTTTGTGTGACAACATCAAAGCGCACGCCACAAATCTGAGGAGAAGCCCGGCCAAACACCTACATATGTGCGTGTAGGCGTCAGTCTGTTATTATATGTATGTATTAATAACAATTTATATTACCTTTTTTTCTCCTCTTAATAAATACAGAAGGAATCGGCAGAGTAGAGAACTCGCAGCACAGCGGGCGCCATCTAGCGATTGAGCTTATGTATATTTGATAAATATTAGCTAGATCTAACCTTATAAAGGTTTGTTACACAGTATTCTGAAAACAGCGACATCTGTTTAAAATTGGATTGTAGAAAGAAGAATGTATGAAATGAAATTTGTATGAAATTTTGTATTTGCGTTACTTCTCGTCTATGGCTAACAATGTAGAATGCTTCCTTTAACCAGTATGCATACAGTGAGGAAACAGACAATATGATAGCGCACCTAGGTTAAACTTTCACCTTAGCTGATGTGAATAGGTGTGTTGCCTTATTATTTAAAAAACAAAATTTGGATTATTTAAAAACAAATATTAGGAGGAAGGCGTACATGAAGCTTTCTTAGTTCCCATCGGAACCATAATTACCCAATATGAATAGCTTTTCTGAGTGCGAGGAGGAGGATTACTTAACCCTGGGTATTACAAAGTGTCTTTACAGCGCGCTGTTGGTTAATGTTCCGATTCGTTACCTTAGCCACTTTTCAATATTTTATGTGGGAATACCCAACTCTAATTACTCTAAAAATGCTCCTTTAATGAGAACTCTTTCCGAGTTAAATAATATTTCGGGTTAGGACCCGTCTCTTTTAAAAGTAACAGTGCGCAGTTTAATTTATGATAACGTAGCCCATTTCGTCAGTAAGAAACTATTGTTCTGTTTGACTGAATTCTTAATGGGAATTTGTCTATGGAAAGGCTCCTCAGTTATTTTCTTACAAAGCCTCGGCCATAAAGCATAAAGACGTAGTGACATCACAGTTCTCTCAGTTGGTCTATAGGTGATTTATTAGGCATACTGGTTTTCAGTAGATCACAAATCGGTGGTTGTATGTAGTTATCTTTCTCCGCTAACCGTCGCTTTCGAAACGTTTCTAGCCATGTCATTGCTTATTTCGTTCCCTTCCATATTGCGATGTCCAGGTACCCAGCAGAGGACCACGCTTACGTGACTCAATATGCTAGTTATGTGTGATGTTATAATAATTATCAGACAATTCTTGATGCGTTCCATGTCGTTTAACTGCCAGCGTATATAGGGACTTTAGGGACTCATTAGCTTGCTAGCCTTCTCAATGGTAAATGTCCCTAACTGAAAGACACTGTAGTCCTCAGGCATATGATTGAGTTATCTTCAGGCCTTTTGGGTAGAGACCCGCGCCAAATTATTTTGGATCTTTGATCGATCGGCGTAGATGATACCGTAATACCATCATTTCCCCGTGGCAGGCCTGCATCATACTTTTCTCTAGTAGGAATCTTGACGACCAGTGCCGATTTCTAAGTCAGCCTTGATCCCGCTACGTCCCCCTCTTCAGTTTCTAATATATCGAGGTATGCGAGAATCTACTGCCTACCATTACTTTCCGATTGCTACTTCTATCCAATGTCTTATACCACATTAGAGCTCCATAAGTTATAATCGGTCAGATGGTTATGGTATTCCACATACCGTAAATAATGTCTTTTGTCAGTACCAGTTCCTACCGAATGCCCTTTGTAGGTATATGACGCTGCTGGGCTTCTCTTTGCTTAGTTTTTAGTTATCTGTTGTAATAAATATGGTTTATTCTTCATCGAAAATTCCATAAATCCAAGTTTCAAACTTAATGCAATATTACAAAAAAATCAACAAACCTTCGTAAAAATGTAGATCTTTTCAAATAAATTTTTTTATAAAGGTCAATTCTGGCAATTTTTTGTTGAAAGTGCTGCTCATTTTCCTTCATATAAAAAAATCGTCCAAAAAATAAAAAAAAAACTAATTTAAAAGCCCATAATTTTTACAAAATTTTGTTGATTTTTTAACGGACTTCAAAAAAGGAGGAGGTTATCAATTCCTCGGAATATTTTTTTTTGTTTTTTATGTATGTTCCGGATAATTTTGGACCACGTGAGCCGATTTCGATAATCCTTTTATTAAAGGAAAGATGGTACCTCCGAGTTGGTCGCATACAAATTTTATCAAGATCCGATCATTGGATCATGAAGAATTCGACGATAATCTAAAATTTTTTTATGAGAATTGAAGTCGGTTTGGTTTTTTTGCTTCAAAATTACTTGCTTTTTAAATATTGCAAAAGTTTAAATCTCTGAGAAATAAACTATATTTTTTATAAAAATAACTAAAGTTAAATAGTAAACAAAATACATTTTTAAAACTTATAAAGATGTGGTGACACGGGCTGTATAGCCAAGTCCTCCACGTAAGCGACTTACTTTGTTCTCCCTACTATGAGGTTTTCTAATAATTAATTTAAAAGCAAGAGCAGCCAAGAGGCGAAAGCACACTATCCTATGGAGTGCTCCTTGTAGGCGCATTGTTTACTCTGCACTTGAAAGCGCCGTAAACGTACATGAAGCTAGCTACAGTATATCCCCTATGGTAAACTTGTATCCTATAGGGAACTATTCTATCGAATTTGCTATGCAATCAAACTTTTCTTCAGGCTCACGCTAGCGTCTCCATCTGAGGTGGAATAGAGTACACAACGCGACTATAATTCTGTGAGTCTCGGGTTCGAAACAAGATGCGAGTTCCCTGGAACAAGTTTTTAATAAAAACCATCTTGCGTTCGAAGCCGAAATGAAACTGAAAGCAGATGTCTCCGGGTTTTTTCAAGAAAAATTATGACAAAAAACAATGTAGAAAATAATGACAAAGGTTTAAATCAAGCAGATAAAATATGTCTACAATAAGCTATTACGAATACATATATTATTATTTTCTACTTACACTTTGCATAAGCAGCGAACACAAACTCGACGTTGCCAGCTCACTTGTTATCAGTCATCGAATACTGCTGTCAATAATTATGTACTTATGTAGTTGGCAACTGCGGTTTGATCAGTAAAATTATACACACACATTTCACACGCTACGGTCAACAATTGAGGAGGAGCACCTAAGTTGCAATTGGCATAAATTTATATAATTTGAATTCTTTTATTTTGATACATATTTTTTGAAACTCGCATATCGGGCTAAAGTAAGTTTTGGAAAAAAAGAAATTTAAAAGAATGTATTTCTATAAAAATGTTGTCAGGAGAATATTTCATTAAAAAAAAAATAAATTTATTTATTTAGAAGGAATATATTTTGTGTGTTTCTGTGTTAAAAAAATATTTTATTTATTTAAAAAGAATATATTTTACTGTGGTTTTGCAGATTTTTTTCAAGTGGTGCATGATAAATTTTATAAATTTTCTACTGAAAATCGCTCAAAACCTCACTAAATTCATAGGCGCCCGATTAATTTCACTTCTCATTTCCACTTTTTCTATATTTATTCATTTTCTCTCACTTTTAATCATGTTCTATAAGCAGAATGTGCAAAAGCCGAACAAACAAAGGCGCAATGAGTTCTATATTCAGCAGTCAGCTGATAAAAGCTGAGCCGGCGGTTATCGCTTTTACTGATTGCGCTTCGCTTTCGCATTTTATTTCGTTTCTAGGCCTTATTACTTATGCAATTTTTTTCATTGTCCGCTTTTGCCCTTTTGAAATATTTTAAGCTGTTTTAGCAGATTTTTAGCAATTTTCATGCAAAAATTATTTACTACGAATTTTTTTCTGAGCACAGTAAGTGAAATTTACGTAATTTGGACTTAATGAAGCTTTTTTTTAAATTATTTTTTATAAATGTACTGTAGTACGTGTCAGAATTTAATAAGTCACGTACATATGTAAGTATTTAAATACTTAGGTATCTGCTTATAGAAGGAAAAAAGTACATTCTTCTAAAGGCCTCTAACTCTAATATGGAAATAGTATTACCTATGTTTTTAGCTTAAAAACCAACTTTATTAATAGTCATTCTTACAGCTTTTAAATTAATAATTAGCTATTTTCATTTAACACATTTTAATAATTTTACTTTGAAAATTTACAGCTGTTCGAAATTTGTATTTTTGTATACACGTAGTGTTGTATTTCTTCCGCATTCACAACTGCGTAATTTTCCGTATTTCTTGCCCCCTACAAAGAGGCGATAGATAAATAAGAAAATTTCGAAAAATCGGCAGCAAAGTTTTTATCCACATGGCAGAGCAAGCGACATGCAGATTTTCGCTATAATTTATTGTTTTAATTTCCTTATTAAAATTCACTATTTTTGCCATTTAACTGTAAAATTATAACTTTTTCTAGAAAAGCGATTGCATGAGCTGATAACTATTACAAAAAAAAATCAGAGATTTTCATTTTTTATTTGCCTTTTTCTCCCGATTCCGGTATCACAGCCGCGTTTCTCCACGCCTTTACAGAACTGCTGTGAGAAGCTGTTTGAACCGACCACCGTCTAACTGACGTATCGATATTTACATATATAAACCACACAGCGACCGCAGAAAAATCGAGCTGAAAAACTTCAACATTCACCAGTAGACCGCGAATGGGAAAAAAAGGAAAATCTATCAAGACACAGACCTAACATTTACTCGCAACTTTTATCGCAGACGAATAGAATAATACTGAATTTATGCAGCAGTAGTACTCCGGCAGCTCGCAACGCAACGTAACGCAACAACGTCGTTGACGACGACGCTGACAACGACGACGACGACGAGACAATGATGGGGAGAAAATTCGCTGCATATCAATGTTTTTGTGTGGGTGTATATATATATATATATATATATACATGTGTGTGTGTGTGTTACTACATTTGTGTAAGTGCGCTCAGCAGATGCTCAGTTACATGCGCAGCGCGCAGTTCCCCACGGTCCCCATCTACGGTGGAGACTCATACATAGGGGCGAGTAATTTAGCTGGCAGAATATGAGAATGACAAGCGTTTGGCGCAGGCGAG